GCCCCCCCCCCCCCCCCCCCCCCGCCCCCCCCCTCCCTGACTGAATAATATGTTTTCTCAAACAAACCATCGGAACGAAAAATGACATTTTCAAAAAAAAAAAAAGTGTGCAGTAAAGAAGCTGGCCTACAGGAAGGCGCTCATGCACGAAAGGATGCTTCCGGAGTACCAGACCCAGCGAGAGTACCTGGACCTGATGGTACAGTACGGCTACGTGACGATGTTCGCGGTGGCCTACCCGCTGGCCCCTCTCCTGGCCCTCGTGCGGTGCCTGGCCGAGATCTACATCGACCACCGGAAGCTCCTCCGTTGCAGGCGCCCGGCTTACGTGGACAGGTGCGGGCAGGGTGTGTGTGTGTGCGTGGGATGGATAGGTAGGTGGTGCGCTTGCTGTCCCTCCTCCTTTGTATTTTTTTTTCTTTTTTCTCGTGCGTGTTTTTTTTTTTTTTAAGTTCTGCTTCTCAGGGTTTGTGGAGCCCTGTCGTTGTACGTAAGTGCACGTGTAGTTTCATTGCTTTTTTTTTTTTATTCCATCCGCTGATCGCTCTCGCGGTAAGATCACCGGACAGAGTGTTACGCGGAGGGCTGTTTGGAGGTCTTGACGGCTGTTCGCAGGGTGGATAGATCGTCGCCTGCCTCACGACGAAAAAGAACAGCAAAGAGCTTTTTTTTTTTTTCGGTTGCGGGGGGGGGGGTAGACGAGGTCGGGAAAGGCCGCTTGATCGTATTTGGAGTTTCGAGCGAGATGCTTAATTTGCACGTCTATACGTGTGGCTGTTGTTCGATCCTCCAGTTGGCATGAGGCACACAGGCGTTGCTGTTTGAGGCTAGACTTGGGGGTTATCCAACTCTTCCATCCTTATGGTGCTAGTTCTGCTGCTCCTGGGTTTTGCCAGGTTGGCGACTGTATTGTGTTTTCCGTTTCTCTCTAGCTCGGTAAGACTCCCCCCGCTGGGGAAGGGGTCCAGCCAGAGCGGGTCGCGGCTAGAACCAATCAATCTCCCGACCAAACCCTTCTATTGTCTCCCGATGGCTGGTGTGTTTCCTACCGTTTGTTTTGTGTTTACCCTTCCTCCGCTCACGTCCTAATTCTTCTGTGCTGCTCACTTCTTTCTCCCTTTGCCACCGCTCTTGTCTTAATACTTCCCTCCCACGTCAGGAACATACAGGCCCGCCAAACCTCGTTCTCGCACATGGTAGGTAATGTAACACGTGACTTTTTTTTTTTTTTCCGCTCATCTTGGCACCGCTCGCTGCTCGCAGGTCGAGCATCGGGGCGTGGTACGGTGTCCTGGAGTTCGTGGGCAATGCGAGCGTACTTACCAACTGGTACGCCGCTGGGTGGGGGACGGTAGCGCCAGGAACACTAGCTGTGGTCGTGGTGGTAGTGAAGGGGTAGGGTATACCATACGTGTGTGGGGGCCGTCTGTACTGCTGTATCATGATTAAGTCTGGGGGGCACACGGCGTGCCACTATTGCAGTAAGGCCTCCACCCCCGGCGTTGTTTGGGAGAGCGGACTGGTTTTCGTGTAGAGAGAAGTGCAGCTCGTTGCCTTGCCTTGTCTTTGCGACGACGGGGGCGTTTCTTGTATACTCCTATGCAGGATGTTTGCGTGGAACACGCCTGCTTTTCTTTTTCTTGTTTTGCGACGACACCCGGTGCTGCTTTTGCTGTTTGCGGGCCGAGGATCAATCAAACGTTGTGGCCGAGGCCAAGGCGAAGGTTTTTCCTGTGTTCCTATTAAGCATACCACGACCCGTCGTCAACTGGCTGGCTTTAGGCCACCGCTGTGCCCACCACCAGCTGTCTTGTTCTTGACCTTTTCACTCCTACGTGTCGTCGGCCGAAACTGCTTCGTCACGCCTGGCACCTCACTCGGCCGTACCATGACGATGAGTATTCCATCCTCCCTCTCTCTCTACCCCCCCCCCCCCCC